GCCCGCTGGGAAGGCAACGCAACGCACGCCTGCGCGACGGGACTGCCTATCTGGCAGGGGCGCTGGCCGCTCCACCCGGCGAGGACTAACTTTGGCAGACCGGTTCGAACTGTTCAAACATCTGCGCAAGCTACTCGACAATCATTCCGCTGCGCATGTTGTGCATTTCTGCACTTATCTCACCCGTCTCTACCCCGAATCATCCTCGTAGTGTGCCTTGCATCTTTCTGCCGTCTTTCTGTATCTTTTTACCAGCAATTTTTTCTATCCTTCTCCCGCTCCCTTCTCGCCACACCGCCATCTCGTATCTTATTTTCTGCTTTTCTATATACTTTTTCCTGTTCTTGGTCTGACTGTCCTCTCTCTCCCTCGCGCTCGCTCTTTCTCTTCGCTATCAGCGTATTGATCCTGACCCAGGGAGCTCTGCGCGCTCTGCGAGCGGCGGGACGGGGAGCGGCGTGGCGCGGCGTGGCGTGGTACGGGAGGCTGCCTGTGGCTGGAGAGAGATGTGGGGGGGAGGGGGATACAGAGACAGACACACTGGGAGACGAGTGACTTTCGAGAGACGCGAGGAAGACCGTTGCCCGGCGTCGCGAGGGGGACGAGGGGCAGGCGGTCGAAAACGGCGCTATCGCAACACTTTTTGACCGAGGAGTACCGCATGACTGTTTTTAGGTTAGGTTGCCTGTAGAAGAACAAGGGGTATTTTGTTTCTGCAGTGGAGGGTAGCTGGCCCAACGCGTGTTGCTCAGCGACTGGCGGTGTGCGTGCTGCCTGCAGGGCGTGACTTGGCGTTCTCGTCAAGACATCTACAGGCGGGCGACCCACAACAGAGCGTTCGTCGCCCCTACGACAACCCGTTCGTCTGGCCTCGTCTCCTGCCGGCCGACGCGGATTAGTCCGATTAGTCTTGTGATCGTTATTGCATGTTCGGAGGAGTGGTGTCAGGGAATGCACTTTGACCCAAAATTGTGTGATTAGCCTTAGCCTTCCACAAAAACTAAATAAATAAACGGCGACAGCCAATGTTTTTGCTGGTCTGACGGTTTTCTACAGGAGCTCAACAAAAATCTTAAGTTGTGTGCGAACTAACGCACAATTTAATGCAAAAGAGAAAGATAGGCTCTCGGACTTCTCTTTGGTAGCACAGCGTTCGGGTCCTGTAGCTCACATCGTCGGCAGTTTTGATTATCGGCGAGCTTTCAAGGTAGTTCATTTTGTACGATTTTGTCCGTGTTCCTGACCTATGTTTGGCCACTAAATGCTTCCTATCCCAAAGTCGTGGTCATAATTATGACTTGTCCATTCTCGGTGCTTGTCCGCAAGAATGCACCGCACCGCTCAGGCCGGGTTGGGTTCGTCGGGTTCGTGGCTCCAGCGCCGGGCTGATTGTCAAACCGGAGCAACAATAGGCGATAAATTCGTAGTCCACTCGCGAATGCAAATCCACCTGTTACGTGAAGAAGGTAAATTTATGTGCCACTTCGAATGAGGTGTGGCGTTCGGGCTCGAGACCCACCCCACCCAGGGGTGGATCCAAAGAGAGGTTCAGGAGGGAGTGATGTAGCGAAATCTGCCTACTAACAGGGCAACAGGGTGACTCTTTGCCTACCTTTAAGGAAAGGTGAGGGGTAACCCTTTGAACTCTATGAAAGTCGAATGTGTCATCTCTACTTCAGTCACTTAAAGAGCACATCACTCCAAAATTGTTAAAAACCAAACAGTTTTTTGTCGGTTTATGTCGATTGTTGGCTTTTCCGTGAAAAATGCCAAATATCGCATCCTGAAATGTGGAAAACTGTGCGTCAGCAGCCTGTGAAATGCGCTCGCGCATAGGGGAAAACCCAGTTTCTCGAAATGAGGTAGCGTTTTTCTTGTCACATGAAATTTAACACCGTCTTTCAATACTTATTAACATTTGATGCAGTTACATTTGTTCCTAGATTTTTTTATGTCACCCCACGCAATTTCAGGCACGTTTTTACGAGACACCTGTTTTGAGAGTGATATTCCCCCTTGAAGACCCTTTCCTGTTCACAAAGGCCGTTCTTTCTGAGCGGCAAATAATCTTGTTATTTTAGTGTGCGTTTCCAATCAATTGTGTCGCGTTCATAACTTGGCTTAAAGAAGAATAGTACTGTAATGATTACATACGTTTACATTTTCATTGTTAATCCGGAAAAAGGAAAATATATTGTTGTTTCAAAAGAAGCAAATCTGAAACAAGAGCGACTAACAACGAAAACAACTTAGGTCAGGGTCACCTTTTGCGATCCTAGGCTAAAGTTCGTATGCATCGGTTGAGGCTTGACAGGGATCTCTCTCGTGCTTGCCCTCGGTCTCGGTGACCAGCGGTGACAGCCTGTGTGACGCGGGCCTGACTACCTCGCAGACGCTCTGTGCTGCACAGTCGCTGCCGTTTGCTGGATGGCCGTGCGGGCCGAATCCCTGGTCCGTCGAGGGGGCGGTTGAGAGTCCCTTCGAAGTCCCTTCCACCCCGTCGCGCCGGCTCGTCATTTGCGAGACCGGTGCGCCGCCTCGCCGCTTGCATGCAGTTATCCTTCCAGGCCCAGGCCGGAGGGGCCGTCGCGTCGTCAGTCTTAGTCTTCTCAAAGTGAATGGAGTGGTTCGGCATCGGGCCGTCGCTCGCCGCCGCCCTGGGCTCCGATAACAAAGCAACAGATTATGGAGCGATCGCATACTCTGCGCCGCCCTGCCCCGCCCCACCGCGCCCCACTCCGCCCCGCCCCACCCCGCCCCGCCTCGCCCCGCCCCGCCCAAGATGACGGGTCACGGAATGCCCTCCACGCCCGCACGCACACCGCGGCGCACCGCGGGGCGGCACAGGGCGCACCTAAGCCCCCTACGGCCCTGCGCGCTCGCCGCTGCATTTGCTAGCCCTGCGACGCCCCGCGCTCGTGCCTCCTTCAAGCGCAACGAATTTCCTATTACTGTTTACTTAAAGAAACGCGAAAAACAAACATAAATATACATTATAGACCTGGAGGGACCGCGCCGCGCGCCGCCGCGCCACCTCAGTCCCACTCGCCCCCGGCCCACCCGCACCCCCCGCACCCCCCGCCGCCACGCCCCCCGCCCAGCGAGGTACGATAGCGGACCGATCGATTCTCGGGCAGACAGGGACTGGGACAGTGTGCGAGAGAGAGGTGCAAGAGGCGGGGGGAGAGAGACAGAGGGGGGAGGGGGCGACCAGTGTAGGCAGGATAGTGTGGCCATTCAGCACGTGACCTGGAGGGGAGGCGGAGACCCTGCCCGGCCCTGCCCGGCCCTGCCCGGCCCTGCCCGCCGCGACTTGTGGCTCGGCAGCCGCTCCGATTTAAATAATGACAACAACACCTACGCGTTACCACCAAGGGAACGGACTCAGAGTGTTCCCTCATCACCGATGCGCTCCATACGTCAGATTGTAGAAGACCCACCGTAGAAAGTTTTTAACGTTCATACCGGGTATAAAATGTAGCGCCGCAGTTCACGCGTTTTTTCGCGCCGTAGCGCCTTCGCGTCACCGCCACGTCTTGACTCGACGGTGCGGAGGCCGCGGGCCGCGAAACCCCGCCGCGGCGCCGGACTTCGGACATAGCGCTTCGCGTCACCGCGGACGTCTTGACTCAACCCCGGTTGCGCGGGCCCATGTCTGAAACCGGAAACCGAGCGTCCGCCCGGGACGCGGGAATCGCGATTCGAAGTCCCGCCGGCGGTTCGCGGTTTCCGGACTTCGCGGTCGCGGGGCCCCTTGAGTCAAAAACGTGGCGGTGACGAGAAGTCCGCGGTGACGCGAAAAAACGCGTGAACCGTGGCGCAGGGGCGCACTGACCGCCCCTGACAGCACCGCTCCATTCCGGCGCGCCCGCCGAGTCAAGCATAGGCAACCCGCTCGCCCGTTGCGTGTTACATTTTACACCCGGTACAATACCTAGAGACAACCTTTTTCTTAAGTTTCTACCTATGGCGTAGATGTTACGATTTCAATACTACAGTACTACAGTAGCCAGCATCTTGAAAAAAGTACGCCCACTGTCCAAATATGCATCTTTCCAAAATAGTAGTAGTAGAGTTCATTGTATGGTACTAGTCCACTCATGTCTATGAAAAATAAACAGCTTGATGTTCTAGTTTGATTTGTTGTTTGTTATCTTCTAGCAGCCAAACTGAAAAGAAAGTATGATCATATGAAAATGTCAAAGAACACACTGGTAAAACTAAAGCGTAGTATTACCCTCTGTTTTCAAGCGTAATCAGGTTACGCTTGAAATCAAGCGTAACAGGCTCATCCGCCAAGATTCCCCTTAAATGCATGGGGGAATTTCCAGAGTATGCTTCATTTCAAGCGTAACGTCTTCTAGCGTAACTTTATGCGTGACTCAAGCATAGAGTTACGCTTTAGCTTTACCAGTGCGCATTGTAATTAATACACCTGCAACCGTCGTGGTCTTTCCTGCCCCTTAGTATCTGTTTTAGGCGCTGTCCCAGAGTGATAAACCATTGTGTTTTCACTAGAGGAGATTTTATCGGTGTTGTAATCATCCGGAGTAGATGTGGATCATTATGGCATCAGGGCGATTAGGCGTCACAATTGCAATTATTGAAATTCGTCGCAAATCTTCAATGATACATCATCATCAGCGCTTTTGGACCTCGGCAGACCTTTAGCGTTCGAGTAAGCAGATTCAACAAACGTGGGACTCAGATTGCAATCCCCAAATGCAGGCAGTGTGCCGCCTGCGACAGCCACCCTCTACTTGGGGGTACGCCGTTTTGTAAATCCCGAGACGACTATCAGCGTGAATCAGAATCATGAACAAATGGTTGGGAGCATGATTAAACGAGACAAATCGAAATAGCGGAGAGGACATCTACACCCTCTGACCAAAGGTTATTGGTCTGTGGTCGTCTGTTTCCTGAGCTTAACCCCTGTACTCCTGAAGTGACAACTGACCTCCTGTTCAATATTTTAATCCATGTCCTCTCTTCTTTTCCAGTTTGCAACTTCGTAGTTCATGACCGGTGCCTGAAAACGGTGATCTCGCCGTGCTCCAGCATCGCGGCTATGCTTGTTAAGGTGAGCAGAGTGTTGGCTTTCGGGGCGTGACTTTAAACTGACCTTGGGCAGAGGCCCCGCCTCGAGCCGTGGGCAAGCCGTGGGCAAGCCGTGGGCAAGCCGTGGGCAAGCCGTGGGCAAGCCGTGGGCAAGCCGTGGGCAAGCCGTGGGCAAGCCGTGGGCAAGCCGTGGGGGCCAAGCCGTGGGCAAGCCGTGGGGTGCAAGCCGTGGGCAAGCCGTGGGCAAGCCGTGGGCAAGCCGTGGGGGGCAATCCGTTGTCAAGCCGTGGGGGCAAGCCGTGGGGGGCAAGTCGTGGGCAAGCCGTGGGGGCAAGCCGTGGGGGCAAGTCGTGGGCAAGCCGTGGGGGGCAAGCCGTGGGCAAGCCTTGGGGCACTGCCAGAAAATACCACAGCAAAAGTACACAAATTACTGGCAAAATTTTTATCTGGAATTTATTGTACTTTCGAAGTTCAACAATTGTTGTACAAAGTACAATGGAACCGGCATGACGAGTGCTGGGCAGTCCGGGCCTCGTTGTGGTTTGTACAATTTTCGTTGTACCGGTACTTTATACAATCCCTGTTGTACTTTCATTGTACAGTTTTGTTGTACTTTTGTTGTACTATTCACACTTTCTTTGCAGTGGGGGCAAGCCGTGGGCAAGCCGTGGGGGGCAAGCCGTGGGGGCAAGCCGTGGGGGCAAGCCGTGGGAGGCAAGCCGTGGGGGGCAAGCCGTGGGGGCAAGCCGTGGTGGGCAAGCCGTGGGGGGCAAGCCGTGGGGGCAAGCCGTGGGGGCAAGCCGTGGGGGGCAAGCCGTGGGGGCAAGCCGTGGGGGGCAAGCCGTGGGGGGCAAGCCGTGGGGGGCAAGCCGTGGGGGGCAAGCCGTGGGGGGCAAGCCGTGGTGGGCAAGCCGTGGGGGGCAAGCCGTGGGGGGCAAGCCGTGGGGGCAAGCCGTGGGGGCAAGCCGTGGGGGGCAAGCCGTGGGGGCAAGCCGTGGGGGGCAAGCCGTGGGGGGCAAGCCGTGGGGGAGCCGGGGGGGCAAGCCGTGGGGGGCAAGCCGTGGGGGCAAGCCGGGGGCAAGCCGTGGGGGCAAGCCGTGGGGGGCAAGCCGTGGGGGCAAGCCGTGGGGGCAAGCCGTGGGGGGCAAGCCGTGGGCAAGCCGTGGGGGCAAGCCGTGGGCAAGCCGTGGGGTGCAAGCCGTGGGGGCAAGCCGTGGGCAACGCCGTGGGGGGCAATCCGTTGTCAAGCCGTGGGGGGCAAGCCGTGGGGGGCAAGTCGTGGGCAAGCCGTGGGGGGCAAGCCGTGGGGGGCAAGTCGTGGGCAAGCCGTGGGGGGCAAGCCGTGGGCAAGCCTTGGGGCACTGCCAGAAAATACCACAACAAAAGTACACAAATTACTGGCAAAATTTTTATCTGGAATTTATTGTACTTTCGAAGTTCAACAATTGTTGTACAAAGTACAATGGAACCGGCATGACGAGTGCTGGGCAGTCCGGGCCTCGTTGTGGTTTGTACAATTTTCGTTGTACCGGTACTTTATACAATCCCTGTTGTACTTTCATTGTACAGTTTTTGTTGTACTTTTGTTGTACTATTCACACTTTTTCTTTGCAGTGGGGGCAAGCCGTGGGCAAGCCGTGGGGGGCAAGCCGTGGGGGGCAAGCCGTGGGGGGCAAGCCGTGGGAGGCAAGCCGTGGGGGGCAAGCCGTGGGGGGCAAGCCGTGGGGGGCAAGCCGTGGGGGGCAAGCCGTGGGGCAAGCCGTGGGGCAAGCCGTGGGGGGCAAGCCGTGGGGGGCAAGCCGTGGGGGGCAAGCCGTGGGGGGCAAGCCGTGGGGGGCAAGCCGTGGGGGGCAAGCCGTGGGGGGCAAGCCGTGGGGGGCAAGCCGTGGGGGACAAGCCGTGGGGGCAAGCCGTGGGGGCAAGCCGTGGGGGCAAGCCGTGGGGGCAAGCCGTGGGGGGCAAGCCGTGGGGGGCAAGCCGTGGGGGGCAAGCCGTGGGGGGCAAGCCGTGGGGGGCAAGCCGTGGGGGGCAAGCCGTGGGGGGCAAGCCGTGGGGGGCTAGCCGGGGGGGCAAGCCGTGGGGGGCAAGCCGTGGGGGGCAAGCCGTGGGCGGGGCAAGCCGTGGGCAAGCCGTGGGCAAGCCGTGGGCAAGCCCAGTGTATCGTCCGGGGTGCAGCAGAGGCGGGTCCGGCGGGTCGAAGAGCCGGGGCGGGGGTGGTGACGTTCTCGCGTTGCGCGCGTTGCGTGTTTTGCCTACATTCAGGGGGTCAGTTCCGTAGTGCCGTGCCTCTCGCTGTAAGGCGCCGACAATACTCATTTTTTAAAAGCCCCACCGTATTTGCCAGGCAGCCATGCCACGCACGGCCGGAACGCACCATCCAGTGTGATTCAACTCGGATTAAAATTTGGCTCCGTGTTTTTACTTGCGAGTCACTTCCCCGGGGCAACGACGCGTTTGTTGTCGAACCGGCAGTGGAGGGGCCCTCAGCCTCACATGATGAACGCCCGGGAGCGCTCCCTCCCCGCCTCATTCACCCCCGGAGTCCTCCGCCGCCTGCAGCCGCACCGCAAGTCAGTACACCCGTTCGGCAGGGCGGCAGGGCCGCGGCAGGGCCCTGGGCTGGCTTAAAATGGAAAGTGTTTGGAGGGATAGAAAAAGGAGGGGCCGAAGAAAAGAAGGGGAGGGGCATGGGGCGTGTGAGCGGAGCAGAGCGGGGCGCGGGATGCTGTAGTAGCCGTTGCCACTCATCTCAGCATCGATCGGGCTGGCCGGGGCTGGCCGGGGCGGGCCGGGGCGGGCCGGGGGCCCCGCGGGGGGAGGGGGCGCGCGCGGCACGAGGTGGTGGCGCGGGGTGGCGGTGAAGGGGGCCTCGCAGGAGGACTCGGAAGCATGGCGCTGGAGCACGCTGGAGGCTGGAGGCGCGGCCTGCCGACGGCCGGGCAGAGGGGGCGGCAGTTCATGGCGAGGACAGTCGCCCCTCGGCGTCGTGCCGCCGCCGCTGCCGCCGCTGCGTCCGCAACGTGCTCAAGACTGTTGTTTTCACAGCGCGCCCGCAATACGGCGAGGAGGCACAGCATTTCCCCCGCACCCCGAAAAGAAAATACCGCCACTTCTTTTCTTGGCTTATTATTTTTAGCAGATGATACCTTTACTACTTCAAAACATACCTAGACAATACAAGACACATAAAGGTGTCAGCTAGCTTTTTCTAGTTTTTTTTTCCTTTTAATCGGGGAAGTGTCCTTGATCCAAACCTTGTTTCTTGTTTAAGAAAAAGTATTCTCGAATCATTGTTTTTTCGTACAAAACCCAAGAAGAAACTGAAGAACATTTATTTCTGGGTGCGAATCCCACAAAGAGCACAGGGCGAGGCACAGAGTAATTAAAATTGTTTCAAGCTGTCTGTGGGCAGCTTGCACCAGCTCAGTCACATTTCACTCATTCAAATTATGTCGAAGAAAATAAGAATAGCCCGGTGCATGGCTGTTTTTTCAGGACAGGTGCTGAGGCGAGGGCCTTGAAATCTCCGATGTCGCAACCCGTTTCCTCCTTGCGCGTGTTGGGTGGGCGTGTTGGCCACGGCGGCGTCCCGGGCGGCATCATCCGCAGTCGGTTTATTTGACTCATTGAAGCAGCTCAAGTGGCACACCCTCGAAGCCATCACCCTCGCCTCGCCCGCCCCTCGGGCCGCCCTTAGCCGCTCAAAGGACCGCTCACCCTCGCCAGCACCCAGCCCGCCACGCCCCGCCACGCCCCGCCCACTGCAACAGGTCTGGCGGGGCGCACGCGATGCGGCGATGCACTGCCCCGCCCCTCCCCCTCACTTTCTCCCTATGTCTTCCGTCCTTTTCCTAGCTTTGCTTTCGAAAGCGGCGCGGCGACCACCCTAAGGCCGAAGGGCCCGCCGAAGGGCTCCACCGTAGGGCTCCACCGCAGGGCCCCGCCGTAGGGCCCCGCTGTAGGGCCCCGCCGTAGGGCCCCGCCGTAGGGCCCCGCCGTAGGGCCCCGCCGTAGGGCCCCGCCGTAGGGCCCCGCCGTAGGGCCCCGCCGTAGGGCCCCGCCGTAGGGCCCCGCCGTAGGGCCCCGCCGTAGGGCCCCGCCGTAGGGCCCCGCCGTAGGGCCCCGCCGTAGGGCCCTGCCGTAGGGCCCCGCCGTAGGGCCCCCTGCCACGAGTTGCCTCCTGTGCCGTGCCCTCGTGGCCCCCTGGCCCCTGGCCCCGTGGGCCATGCCATGGTGGCCATGCCCATGCCAGAGGCCATCGATCGGTATCCCATTCATCCGTGGCACAGGCTGCCAGCCAGCCAAGCAGACAGACAGACGGACAGACAGACAGGCAGACGGACAGACAGGCAGGCAGCTAGGGCAGACCTACATCACCCTCGGCTTGGCTTGTTCATTCATCCCAGAACGCCGCACAGCGCGCTTCACGTGGTCACCAAGGGGGAGGGTGGGGCTCACACCGCTCACGCCCCTCACGCCGCGGCGGGGTTTCGTTTCCGTGAAGCAGGCGAGCAGACTGGGTGAACGTGTCAAACAGTGTGACGTCGGCCATCGGGGCTTTGCCCTCTCCTCAAATCAAATCAAATCGATGTCAGGCGCGGTTCCAGCAGTGTACCTAGATTGGGTTGGGTACACTGTGAAACCAAGCGCGGAAGTCTCCATGTTTAAGTGTGGTGTTTTCACGCTATGCCAAGATATAGGGGCTCTGTGAGCGACACTTGAAGTGTGGAGACTGCAAACTTCACACGTCAAGTGTAGAGTTCTCCACAGTTGGTTTGATAGTGTCCGACCGACCGTTGACAACACGCAAGATGTTCCACCTGAAAGTACACTGTCATTCAGGGGTAGAAAGGTAGCCCCTTCAGACGCTTTCCTTAGTTTTTGTAGCGCCTCTAGGAGCCTAAAGGTGCCTTCTTTCGCGACGCCTTAGGCGCTTGGTTTCGAGACACCTTGTCCAGCCCACTGGATTAAATAAGACTCTGGCTGTTGCCCAGGCCCAAGGTGTTTGAGGACCAAGCTTATTTGCCAATGCAGTGTGGTGGCCTATTCCGCTGCCATGCATTCCCCCTGCAATGCAACCACAAAGGTGTTCGGTTAGCAAACACCTTGTTCTGCATCCATAGGGAACAAGAGGGGTCGGGCCAGTGGGCTGGGCCAAAGGTGTCTCGAAACTTAGCGCCTCGCAGGCGCCTAAGCCACTGTTATAGGCGCCTCCTGGCGAGGCAATAAAGGTGCTACAGAAAATAAGGCAAGCGTCAAAAGGGGCTATCTTTCAGAGCACCCCTGAATGACAGTGTAGGCACTGACTCGGCCCCGTCCCCCGGAAAGCCGTTCCTGATAGGTAGCTCCTACGAGCACCAGCGAAGGGCTTGAAAGCGATTGGGGGATGATCCGCAGCTGACAATAATGAGATGTTTTGATGGAACGTCCATGATGAGGTGGTCATGTCGATGAATAACTGTCACTTCGTTCCTGTATTTTGATTATGGAGTCGTGCAGTAGTCTCACTCGTTTGGATTTGTCTGTTTCAGAACCCGGTTGCCCATTGCTGGTCAGAGCAGTCGCACTTGAAGAGAAAGTTTTGTAACGTGTGTCGGAAAGGTTTGGGCGATGGAAGCGCGGCGCACTGTGAGAGTGAGTATGGCCGGAAAGAGCTTCCTGCATTCCAAGCTCGCGGACAAGCCTACATGACTGATTTGCTCTTAGCAAATCTTGAATCCCACGCAATCCCACACTTCGGCGTCTTGTCAGAGGACTTATATTTCGTTGCTGCCGTATCGTGTTTCACTAACACTCTAGAAACTCAACAGTGTACGTAGTACACGTGGAGTCTGATAAATAAGAGTGTATTTGCCAGTTACAGGACAAATTTAGAGTGCTCTTGCCAGGTACACGACAAAGAAGCACTGTTGGAAGAGGGTTCGACTTTCGAACCCACCTTGGCTCGAAACACGGCCTTAAGTAGGATCGAACCCATCTCGGTTCGGAAATCGGACGGGGTGGCCGATACATCCAGGGTTCGATATTTTGACAAGATGAGGGTTCGATTTTCGGCTCTGTAGGGTTCGATTTTCGGCTTTGTAGGGATTGAGCTTCGCTGAGACAAGTGAATTATCAAACTTCACCAAATAGACATTTGCTTACAGATTTAGATTTGTCTCGAGAAGACAAACAAAAAATGTCAAGACATGTTATGGGTTAAAATAGAAAATGGAAGTCGAGTTATTGGAGTTTTAGAGAGCAAAAATGGTAAAAAAGACATTAGAAGTTGAATAACTCTTTCATTTTTCATTTCAACCCATTATATGTGTTGACATTTTTTGTTTGTCTACTTGAGACGAATCTAAATCTGTAAGGTGATGTGTGTTCGGTCAAGTTTGCAAATTGACTCCAGGCGCTGCCCTGCGAAAGCCCTCAGAGCCGAAAGCCGGCGAAGCGGTCGAAAATCGAACCCCACGTCCGAAAATTGAACCCACGTGGGTTCGATTCTACTTAAGCCCGATTTTCGAGCCGGGCGAGAATTGGGACCGCCTTTCCACGGTTCGAAAATCGAACCCCCTTCTAACAGTGAGAGTGTACGTTCATAGTGGCCAAATGGCGGCTAATCAATGTGGCGTCTGGTGCATCCCAGAGCATCCCCTCCCCTCCCCACGAGGACGTTGGCTTGTCCAGCCGCGGCGCGCCCTTGTCTTACAACTTTTCCTTCCACAGTCTGCGAGTACTTCGTGCACCCGGAGTGCATGGACTTGGCCGTGGCGGACTGCAAGGAGAATGCCACCTACCTCCCGGGAAAAGACCTCTCCATGGTGCACCACTCGCACCACTGGCGGGAAGGCAACCTGCCGGCCAACTCCAAGTGCTGCGTGTGCAAGAAGACGTGTTGGTCGGCAGAGTGCCTGGCGGGGTGCCGGTGCGAGTGGTGCGGGCTCACGGTAAGCTTCAATCAAATTGATACCTTTTGTGCTGTGTACGCACACTGTACACGCCCAAGTAATCAAACCGAACCACAGTCGCTCGACGAGTACAGACGTCAGAAGTTGGAACGACTCGGGTTTCGGAATGGATTCTTCCCCGTAGTGAAAGCCGAAGCACGTGGGGGCGTGGGGCCCCCAGGGTTGAATGGCTTGAATGGATTCACCGCTGCAACTTGCCCAAAGTATCATGTCTGTTGCGTGACTTGAGGCGCATCGGGTTGGCCCCATCCCAGCCGCGTGCCCCGTGGGCCTGTCACTAGACATCCGTCCAGTGAGGGGCTTGGTCCTGGCCCCGTCCCAGCCGCGTGCCCCGTGGGCCTGTCACTAGACATCCGTCCAGTGAGGGGCTTGGTCCTGGCCCCGTCCCAGCCGCGTGCCCCGTGGGCCTGTCACTAGACATCCGTCCAGTGAGGGGCTTGGTCCTGGCCCCGTCCCAGCCGCGTGCCCCGTGGGCCTGTCACTAGACATCCGTCCAGTGAGGGGCTTGGTCCTGGCCCCGTCCCAGCCGCGTGCCCCGTGGGCCTGTCACTAGACATCCGTCCAGTGAGGGGCTTGGTCCTGGCCCCATCCCTGGACCGCGTCACCGACTCGGAGTGCTCGCGTGCGGCCCTTGGGTATGGTGTTCGACTAGCATGGGGAGGAGTGAAAATGCAGGGGGAAACCATCACCGAACACGTTCGGTTCGATTCCCATTTGGCGACTCAGAAGCTCAAAACGCGTCCAGGATTTTGACCGCCTCCTCCGGTCTTCTGGCAAATCCACTGTGCCACGGAGCCCTCTTTTCTTCAAGCAGAGACGAGGACGATTGCGATAGCGGGGGAGTCGTCGCTGCGGTCTTCTGGATCCAGTTTTGCTGTGTTTTCACTCGATGTAGGATGACGACGCTTCTCTGCGGCCTTAAGCTAATCCCCTTGTTCCTTTTCCCCGCAGTCTCACTTTTCGTGTCAAAAATCCATCCCGGAGGAGTGCAACTTTGGCCAGTTTCAACCCATCTACCTGCCGCCCCACGCCGTCAGCATACCGCGAACAGAAGTGCCTATGGAAGCCATCATTGGAGTGCAGGTCCGAAGGAAAGACACCCTGTCATGTGAGTACCTTTATTTCATTTGTTTCTCTGCATGTTTGTCTACGCTGCATGCTTGTCATTAGTCTGCCCCTCTTGGAAGGTGCGTTTGGCATTTTGCTTCTCAGTAATTTTTCTTTCTGTCGGGGCGCCGCGAGAGAGCATCCCTGAAGTCCAAGGCCTCGATGGCCCAAAGTTTTCAGGGTGTCATGGGGTTTTGTAGTGCCGTGAATTGCGATCATCGTCTGGGTTCTGTTTCTATTTTCCGTTTCATTAATTTGCCCGTTATACCGTTGCGTTCAAATCGAGGGGGCCACCACTCTCATTTCAGGCGTACACAAGATTACGGGATTACGGGATATTTACCAGGGATTACGCGTGAAATTTTCGAAAATTGGTTCGAAAACGTTGAAAAATAGCTCGAAAACGTTGGAAAATGACAGAATTTTGTCAAGGATTACGTGATTACGCCATGGATTACCAGAGATTACCAGCAAACTTGTACACAGGATTACGGGGGTGGTGGCCCCCTCGGTTCAAATGTGTTTTTTTTACTTTCTGTTTTTTTTTTTCATTTGTTGCTTTGTTTTAGGTCACTTTGTGTGTTAGTGTCGCATGGAGCATGCGTCTGAGCCCCCGTTTGTGTCCTTGGTTTTTATTTTTATGTGTTTCTTGAATGGAATGCGTTGAGTGCACGGAGTGAGTGCACGGAGTGAGTGCACGGAGTGAGTGCCAGCCCAGGACTGCGGGGCCCGGCCGGTCCGGCTGCCCGCGTGAGGGAAGGCTCCGCAATCCGGTGAGTCGGCTCTGCCCTTCGCCCCCCTACCCGCCCTTCGGTCCCTTGCTTCACTGTTCTGGGTTCAAATACTGACGGGAGAGGAGATTCATTTTTGAGCGGGTAGTCCTGCTGATCGACAAGATCGACTTGTCCGTAGAAGGGTTGCTGGTTGGCCCTTCTCAGCCCTAAGCTTGGCCGCTGCGCTGCTGCCCTTCTCTTCGGCCTGTACTCTTCAGTTCTGAGCCGCACCGCTCTAACGGAAGTCCTGGGCTTTTTGTTCCGCTTCGAGTGCCGCCCCAGCCTGCTCGGCCTGCTCCAGCACAGCCACTGCCGGACAGGCAGTCCTGCCCTGGCCGCTGCCGCCGCTGCGCGCTGCGCGCTCCGCCCGGCCCGCCGCGCGCCACAGCCGTCGCTGAAATGGCCTGGAAGAGGGAGACTGTGTGGGGCATGGCCGAGGCATGGCAAAACGGGGTGGTTGCTTTTGGGGGTGGGGTGGGGGCCTCTCTTCGCCCCTCGCCCCCTGCCCTGCCGCGGCTCCTGCCCTCGACGTGGAGCCGAGCGCGGCCCGAGCGCGGCCCGAAGACCCGAAGGCGCGACGGCCCGAAGGCCCGAAGGGAGTCCACAGCCGGCGGAGGCGGCCGATCGCGCAGAGCCGAGGCCGCGAGGGCTGAGGGCCGTAGGCTGAGGGCTGCGAGGGCATAAGGGCTTCGAGGGCAGCTGAGGGCCTGCTGGGGCGGGCCTAGGCGGCATAGCCCTGAGCCTGGCCGCTCTGCGCGCGCAGTTACGAATGCCGTTTGTCGACCCTCTTCGGGCTGGGCCGCTCAGGCTGCGTCTCTCTCCCACACACTCTCTCTCCAGCCCCAACCTCCGTTATCAGCGCAGCGGGTAGGGCGGGAGGCGCCAGCAGACTGATTCGTTTCGTCGCTCTGCCTCTGTCGCACTCATGGGCCTTCCAGCAGGGTGCGAGGGAGACGGAGCGCAACGAATCTTCGAGATCACTGTGCTGCAGCACAACGCAGCGGCCCAGCATCTCTATTTGCCCATTAGTCTGGTGGCGACACCGTTGCAAATTGGCCTTGCCTCTCTCTCGCTCACGCGCCCTGCCCCCTGCCGCCCCGCCACCCTGCCGCCCTGCCCCGCCCCGCCCGTCTCCGAATGCTAGCCTTCCATGCCGACACACCGGGGGACAACCGCCGGCCCAATCCTGCCATCCTGCAGCAGACTGCTTCCGAGAGTCATTTTCGTCGATCTGTCTCTCTCGCACTCTCGCGGCGTCCCGTGTAGGTGGGAGGGAGACAGAGCGACGAAAACGACTCTCGGAATCATTCTGCTGGCGGCCAACTGGCCTGCAACGATGAACTGCTGCATCCCCGAGGAAGGACGCTTTGACCCACGCCCTCACCCCCCCCCCCCACACACACACACAGGGGCACCAACACGCCGTCGCCCGTAACCAGTGCATGCCCATTCGGCCATTCGGTCCGTCCGCACCCACTTTTTCCCGTGGGCTGGCACCAGGGACCCTCGTTGGGCTAATCACCCACTTACGCGTTTAGTGGGTGTGAAACGAAATTTGACTCAACGCGGAGGTCTGTTTCAGCGCGTCAATCAACGGCTAATTTGTCAAACATTAACTTTTATTTTGGCGCTTGCCTACTGTGTTTCAAAATGAAACTTGCGGAAAGACTGAAGCGAAACAGAAATCCTTTTCCTCGTCTCCTCGAAAAGTAACCAGTGGATGTTGCACCCTTCCCCGGGCTTCCCTCTGACAGTGTGCCCTTCTTGTTGCAGCTCGCAGCATCTCGGAGGAGTTGAGCAGCGGCGACGCGCGGCACCGGGACTCGGATGACGTGGCCAAGGAGCCGCGCGGCAAGGAGAAGGACCGCGAGGAGCGCGACGAGGAGGTGGTCAAGGTGTACGACGGCAACAACGCGGTGCGGAAGCGGCACTTCAAGGTGGTGGCCGTGCGCAGGGACGCCACGCTACAACAGCTGCTGGTTGCGGCGCTGCGGGCCTACCACGTCACCAGGGACAGCTGTGAGTACGCCCCGGAGTACGCTCCGGACCCACTGGCCTCCCTGACCACCCTGACCACCCTGACCCACCCTGACCGAACCGGCCACCCTGGCCTCCACGACCACCCTGGCCACCTCGACCACCCTGGCCTCCGCGACCACCCTGGCCACCTCGGCCACGCTGGCCTCCGCGACCACCCTGGCCACCTCGACCACCCTGGCCTCCGCGACCACCCTGGCCACCTCGACCACCCTGGCCTCCGCGACCACCCTGGCCACCTCGGCCTCGCTGGCCACCTCGACCACCCTGGCCACCTCGACCACCCTGGCCTCCACGGCCACCCTGGCCACCTCGACCACCCTGGCCTCCGCGACCACCCTGGCCACCTCGACCACCCTGGCCTCCGCGACCACCCTGGCCACCTCGGCCACGCTGGCCACCCTGACCGGCGGCACTGTCTGACAAAGTTCAGTCCGCGAGGACCAGCCCAGCCTCAGCAGCCCCGCCACGCTGTGGCTGGTCTAACTGCCACCGGGATGAAAACCCCGATTCTTTGATACTTTACCCACGGTTTCAGAAAAAAATGGTGTCTTGCTATGAGCACCGCTGAGTGCGGGATGATGAGTGTGAGTGTGGCTCTGACCGCCTCGTCGTTCTCGTCGTTGTTGCAGCGCAATTCTACTTGACTGACCTGTACGGGCAGGAGGACGTGCCCTTGGCGGACTCAACGCCGGTGCAGAACCTCGTCAGAAAGGAAGGGAAGAGGCCTGCCATTTTCTTGAGGTTCAAGTAAGTAACTGATACTCGATTTAATTATTTTTACTTTTACGAACAGGAGGGAACGTTGGTTGGTGAGGTGCCCCACTACACGACTTACTTTTTGCTTGCAGTGAGACGGACAGAGGGGAAGTGAGGGTGTACCCTGGGCGCGTGGAGGTCAACTCGGGCACCGCGTTTTGCACCGTGCCGGTGGACAGCGAGACCAGCATGACGGAGCTGTGTGCGCAGGCGCTGGACCGCTTTGCCCTGGACAAGGCCAACACGGACGACTACCGCCTCAACCACCTTGTGTTGGAGCGGGGAGGTGAGTTGCTTGGGTCCGAACGCTGACCACTGCACAGTGGGCCAGAAACCGGCGGAGGCGGCCAAAATTCTAGACGTATTTTGAGCTCCCGAGTCGCTAAACAGGACTCGAACCGAACGTGTGACCCCACCAATGGATTCCTCGTCCGGAGAGCAATCCATTGGTGGGGTCACACGGTCGGTTCAAGTCCCATTTGGCGACTCTGGAGCTCAAAACGCGTCTAGAATTTTGGCCGCCTCCGCCGGTTCCTGGCCCACTGTGCACTGCACACTCGACCGGCCGTGGTCGTCGCACTGTTGCGGACCCTGATGCGCAACCTTTACCCGCCTTTGCAGCCGTCACGGACAGGCCGATGGAGGGCACCGAAAAGCCGTGGGAGATCTTCAAGGAGCTGGGCAAGGAGTCGATTCGGCAGATGGAGCGGATGCGGTTCTACATCCAGCCGAAGCAGGACCCGCACGGGCCCAACATCGCGCTGTTCGTCGGCAACCTGCCGTCCAACCTTTCGCAGCGCAACTACGAGAACCTGCTGACGGACAGGCTGGGCATGGAGAACAAGTTCACCAGCATAGGGCCCATCTACTACGAGTACGGCTCCATGGTGATCACGTACGAGGACGCCAACAAGGCTGTGAGGGCACTTTATATTCTGCGGGATTGTTTTTTTGACGAGAAACATTTGTTGGGTGAGTAGCTGTTCCTTACTCGAGTGTGTTCCCCGAGCCGGCCGGCCCCGTCCTCACAGCCCGTGTCCTGTTCCAGTGATGCTACTGCCAAATGTGGAGCCGACCATGGTGCCGAACGGAGTGCAACCACTCCTGGTGTTTGTCAACGTCAAGTCTGGAGGCTGCCAGGGCCTGGAGCTCATCTCCAGCTTCAGGAAGCTGCTCAACCCCTACCAAGTGTTCGATCTGGACAACGGCGGGCCGCTGCCAGGGTGCGTGCCGCTGGAATAAAGATTGTTGCTTCTCCTCGAGAAACGGAGAAACGGCCACGATGACTCTTGCCGCTGGCGCTTGGTGGGCTTTCTTATGACTCTCCGATTGTTCTCCGCAGGCTTTACGTGTTCCGACACATCCGCAACTACAAGATTTTGGTTTGCGGCGGTGACGGGACCATTGGTTGGGTGCTGCAGTGCCTCGACAACGTGGGCCAGGACTCGGAGTGCTCGTCGCCCGCCTGCGCCATCGTACCGCTCGGGACAGGTGAGTTGGCGTGGTAGTGCCGTCGCGCAGTGGACCAGAAGACCGGTGGAGGCGGCCAAAATTCTAGACGCATTTTGAGCTCCAGATTCATCAAATGGGACTAAAACCAAACGTGTGACCCTACCAATGGATTGGTGGGGTCACACGTTCCGTTGGAGTCTCATTTAGCGACTCTGGAGCACAGCACAAAACGCGCCCGTGATTTGACCGCCTCCACCGGTCTTCTTGCCCACGGTGCGTCGGGGGCGATGCGATGCGCTACAACGGCCTGGGGGCTTTGGCCCGGGCCTTGCTGCCAACGGGCGTTAAAACGGCAGTAGCCGATCCAATCCTTTGACTGACGAATACTCCGACGCCGGCTTGCAGGCAACGACCTGGCCCGGGTGCTGCGCTGGGGCTCGGGCTACACGGGCGGCGAGGACCCGCTCAACCTGCTGCGCGACGTGATCGACGCGGAGGAGATCCGGCTCGACCGCTGGACGGTCGTGTTCCACCCGGAGGACAAGGGCGACGAGAAGAGCAACGCCAACTCGACGGGGCCGGCGGTCAAGTGCCGCGTGCCCTCCGTGCAGCCCACGGGCAGCGAGGACAACACGCAGATCTTCGTGATGAACAACTACTTCGGCATAGGCATCGACGCCGACCTGTGCCTCGACTTCCACAACGCGCGCGAGGAGAACCCCAACAAGTTCAACAGCCGGCTGCACAACAAGGGAGTGTACGTCAAGATGTCGCTGCGCAAGCTGGTGGGCCGCAAGGTGTGCAAGGACCTGCACCGCGAGGTGCGCCTGGAGGTGGACGGCAAGCACGTGGAGCTGCCGCAGGTCGAGGGCATCATCATCCTCAACATCCTCAGGTAACTGAGTGCCACGCAGAGTGGATTTGCCAGAAGACCAGTGGAGGCGGTCAAAATCGCGGACGCGTTTTGAGCTTTGGAGTCCCTAAACGGGACCCAAACCGAACGTGCGACCCCCACCAATGGATTCCTCATTTGGGGAGCAATCCGTTTGTGGGGTAACACGTCCGGTTCGGAGTCCCATTGAGCGACTCTGGAGCTCAAAACGCGTCTGGAGTTTTGGCCGCCTCCGCCGGTCTTCTGACCCACTGTGTCACGCCGGCCACGCCCATCAACCAAAATTCTGGAACGCGACGATTAAAACCGAGCGTGCTTTTCCTTGTTGCAGCTGGGGCTCTGGAGCCAATCCGTGGGGAGGACCCGAAAAGGAGGACCATTTTTCAAAGCCCAACCACTGGGACGGCATGCTGGAGGTGGTGGGAGTCACGGGGGTGGTGCACCTGGGGCAGATCCAGTCGGGGCTGCGGTCCGCCATGAGGATAGCTCAGGTGAGGGGTGGCGGTGGAGTGGAGGGGGGTGAAGAGGCTGGAGAGCGCCCGAGGCCCGGCGGCTAGGCAGTGCCTAGGCACGCCCGCCTGACAGGGAGCGCGAGGAGTCGACGAGTCAGGGGCCCTCGTCCCGGCGAGGAGAAGCAGACGGACCGACGGGCCGAGGAACAGACGGACATACCAGGCGGGATAACAGCGTCGCCACCTTTGCCGTTTTCCGCGAGTGTGTGGCCCTGCAAAACACTGAGAATGAAAAAGTCATGATCAATACCCAATTTTGGGCGAGGACTGTTTCCTCGCCCAATTTGGGCGAGGAAAGCTTTCTCGCCCAATTTTGGGCGAGGAAGGGTGTATCGGCTCCCTATATAACTCCATAGTATTATGACCCAAATTTGGGTGAGGAAAGTTTCCTCACCCAAATTTGGGTAATAAAGAATTCCTCACCCAAAATTTTAGTCATGATCATGACTCTTTCATTCTCAGTGAAACACACTGCTCTGAGGGACGAGCGCACTACTTGCGGAAGAATGGCTGCGTTGCTGTCCCACTATCGGTGCAAAGAAATTGGTTCCGACTGTTGTAAGGGGGAGAGAGAAGAGGCTGGGGGTTGGGGGCATTCGCGGGCATTCGTCTCATGCTGTGTTTCTCTCTTTGTCTCGTACGCCTCTCTGCCGCTAGCAGGTCCTGACGTGGTTTTTGCTCTTGCGTCTGTCCCCGCAGGGCGGCCACATCAAGATCCACCTCAACTCGGACATCCCAGTGCAGGTCGACGGGGAGCCCTGGGTCCAAAGTCCAGGGGACATCGTAGTGCTCAAGTCTGCGCTCAAGGTGAGTCCACCGCGAGGGCCTCGGCGAGGACCTCGCCCGGGAAGGGGGATGCCGCCTGCTGGTTGGGCTGCGGGGCTGCGGGGGCTGCGGGGGCTGCGGGCCGCAGAGGACCAACTAAAATGAAAGCCTTTAAACTGCTGTGCTGTGCTAAACGTCTCGTGTCTAATGACCCTGTCTTCCGCATGCCCGAGCCACGTGCGTGGAAATGGCGCGTAAAATCCAGTTTTGGATGAAGAAAAAACAGAGAGAAAGATAAAGACACTAACTGCATTGACCGCCAGCCCCGACTATGCACGTGGAGTAACCGCAGCCGATCCTTAGGGATCCTAATGCTTGTTCACAGCCAAACTAACCGCACACAGAGTGTGCACATGTTTCTCTCAAAAGCCGTGACACTCGCCGAGTTAACCGTGTTTGTGGCTTTCGGCCGCCGAGTAAGTAATGGAGAGTTCTTTTTCTGTAAATGGAACCCTGCCCTTCAGAACAGTAACAGTAGTCTTTCCTTTGTATTGTTGAAGGTAAAACAAAACGTGGTTTTAGTTTCACCAAACCTTACCGTAGTAAGAGTCGTCTTAAAAACTTTAGTTTAAACGTATGTTCGAAAGCTTATGCCAAACCGACAGTGAGTGTGCCCTCTGCCCGTTGAATGAGGGACAATATCCATCGACAAAGCTGGAAGTGTATCATGCCTTTGTAATGTAGCGTATTGTAGAGAGCGGGGAGAAAATGGCAAGCTCCGGAAAGTTAGCATCATCAGATGCCGATTTGCCACGTCGCAGACAGCAACTATTTGTCTCCATTGCTGATTGGCTATTCAGCTAATAAGTTGGCCTTTCGCCAGAACGTTAACTGAAGTGGCTGACAATTGGCTTTGGACTTGAAACTTGCTGCCTGTCAGAGAGCGAATCATTTTTCTCCACGCGAGTCCAGAGTTGTTGGCCTTGTAAACGTAGCTCGGTCGTCTGTGCGCAAAATTCACCGAAGCGACTGGGACTGGATGGGATGATCCCGTAGGAACATGGGATGAAGTGCTTTTGTAAACTGTAGACGCAGGCACCCTTGGCGGGACGGGGAGTGGGGGACACCGTACACAACATGGCTGCAGTCGCATTTTGTTTTAACGAAAACAATGTACATGAATAACCAGTAGCATGGCTTCCCATGACCTTTGATGCCCTGATTTGACGGCCTGAGCTTTCGCTTGTGGTTTTTCGCTTTGGTGCAAAGGGCGGCACGCCTTGAGAATGGGGCCCCGGCCCGGACGCTGCGGCGGCCCCGCCATGCCATGGGCCATGCCGTGGGCATCCCGTTGGACGGACTACTCGCGACGACATTGCTTGTCGTCGCCGGGGAAGCCCGTTCGAACGGCACCCAGCTCGGGTGGGGTGCCGTCCTGGCTACCGCGGCTCGGGGCCTCACAGCCCGGGTCGGAGTCAAAGTCATTTTTACGTCTTGAAGTTGTCTTGAAGGCGCATTGTAGGGAAGGCAAGTACGGGGCGGTTTGAAGGCCGCAAAGAGACCCACTTCAGTGTTTGAACGAGGCGTAAACAGGGCGGCTGCAGGGCGAAGTCAAGGCGAAAAAAGGTTGGAAACAAGGCCAAAAGAAGGCTTTGCGCAAGCGTCCGATTTTTGTCTGCGAACTACCTTAATCTGGTCTTGTTTTCGCCTTCATGGAAGGCGGATTCAGGGTGCGAAGAAGGCCGAATCGAGATCGCGTTGAGTGCGAAACAGGGCAAAAAGAAGACGCTTTCGTGGCAGTTATTGGTGCCACGAAACCGCACGAAACCGTCTTCTTTTTGCCTTGTTTCGACCCGCTTCGCGTCTGGTGGCGTCTGGTGGGGGGAAAAAGGAAACACGGGTTGAGAGCCGGGCGCAGGGCCGAGTCGAACCACGAATCCGTCACTCCAGAATCAGGTGCTCCAAGCCACCTGGCCAGGGCGTCTTGTGGAGAGACTCGTCTCGCCGCACGGCTTGTATGCTCCCGAGATCGCCCTACTGGCGGACGCCAGCCGTCAGGCGGCCAAGTGACATTGGCCACGTCGCGTGTGTAGTGTTGACACGTAGATTCTAGAAGCACACGTGGGTTTGTATTCAGGAACACTATTGAGTTTCTTTAGATCATCAGTGCGATCAATTTTTGCACGAAGTAACAAGAATATAATAAGAACATTTATGAATGCACGCCCCCGTGGAAATACGTGTCAACACTACACACGCGACGTGGCCAATGTCACTTGGCCGCCTGACGGCTGGCGTCCGCCAGTAGGGCGATCTCGGGAGCATACAAGCCGTGCGGCGAGACGAGTATCTCCACAAGACGCCCTGGCCAGGTGGCTTGGAGCACCTGATTCTGGAGTGACGGATTCGTGGTTCGACTCGGCCCTGCGCCCGGCTCTCAACCCGTGTTTCCTTTTTCCCCCCACCAGACGCCACCAGACGCGAAGCGGGTCGAAACAAGGCAAAAAGAAGACGGTTTCGTGCGGTTTCGTGGCGCCAATAACTGCCACGAAAGCGTCTTCTTTTTGCCCTGTTTCGCACTCAACGCGATCTCGATTCGGCCTTCTTCGCACCCTGAATCCGCCTTCCATGAAGGCGAAAACAAGACCAGATTAAGGTAGTTCGCAGACAAAAATCGGACGCTTGCGCAAAGCCTTCTTTTGGCCTTGTTTCAAACCTTTTTTCGCCTTGACTTCGCCCTGCAGCCGCCCTGTTTACGCCTCGTTCAAACACTGAAGTGGGTCTCTTTGCGGCCTTCAAACCGCCCCGTACTTGCCTTCCCTACAATGCGCCTTCAAGACAACTTCAAGACGTAAAAATGACTTTGACTCCGACCCGGGAGTGTACGTACGGTCACTTGTTCGAACACCCCCTCCCCTCCTCACTGAGTCACCAGGCCCAGGCCCTGCGTGGCCCTGGCTGGCCCTGGCTGGCCCAGGGCGCCGGCCCGGGCTGGCTCCGTCCCATCCGCCCTGACGCGTCTGTTTTTTGTGCGCAGGCGACCATGCTGAAGAAGAGGCCCAAGACCAAGAGGCGCAAAGTGATGTACTGGTGGTGACCGAGGGTCATGCCTGGTCATGCCCCATGGTGACTCGTTGCGTGTCGTTTCTGTGCGCAGGCCACTATGCTGAAGAAGATGAAGGGCAAGATGAAGCGGCGCAACACCGACCCCTTCACGCTCCCGTCGCCCGTCAACACGGTGGCCCTGCAGCCCACCGAGGAGAACTCCTCAGAGAACAACGAGTTCTAAACGACGAAACACTCGACTTAAATGTTAAAGAAATAATAATGTTGTTTAGTACCAGAGAGTGCCGGACCGGAAGCCACCGCGCTCCCCTTCCGTCCCGTTGTCGCACACCGCGGGCATTTCCGGTCAACAGATCTCACCCCAATCCCCTCCCCTTCCCCCTTTTTCCTCAAGAAAAAATGCATTTACCCCCTCCCTCTGTAATGGTGCCTATTACTTTTTAGAGATATGGTATTTTGCCAGAGAGCTGCGCTAAATGTCGATTTAAGTTTAAGTTTACAATCCTGATGAAAAACATGATGAATCCTTTAACTGTGTACTTAAATGCAAGAACATACACTAATATTTAGATGCAAGAAACATTTACATTTTACGCAAGAAGACGCAAATGTGCTGCACATGGACTTCGTCACGGGGCACTGGAGTGCCACTTTTGTTTGCCATGCGAAAACAAGCATTTGCATTGTTACTGTGTACTTTAAAATTATTTCATTATTATATAAAACTATTCTAGTGTAGAGGTCTAATTTGTTGGTCATAGCATATTACGTGTAGAACGTGAAGTTAGATGCGGCGTATCCTACCGGACGAGACGAAACCCAGGCCGGCCAGCCTGGCCTCACACCGGGCGCCTTCCCGCACGCCGCGCAGGTAAGTCGTGGTCGGCCCTGCCGCCCGCCACCCCGCGCCACCGCCACCCGCACAGACACGAGGCCGCACGCCGGGGCTGCTCAGGGCGGGCTGGTTGCACGCAGGCCCGCCCCCACAGCCTCGGGACAGACCGCGGGCAGGGCGCGGCGCGGGGCAAGGACGCAAGGGGGCCGACGCTGCACCGCGGCCGCGGAGACTCGGCGCGGCCAGCGCGCCACGGCCGGCCGAACCAAACCCCGAAGATGACCGAGGACCGCACCGAGCCGCCACCCGCGCGCCGTTGTGCCGTTGTGCGCCGCCGGCGCGTTGCCGGGGGCGCGTCGCCGGGGGCACGGCGCCGACAGGCAGGCGCGCGGACGCGGCGAGGGGTGTCCCACCGCCACGGCGTCGCTCTTTCGCACGCCGGCCACCGGATGTGCCGGCCGTGTGGGCTCAGGAGAGTGCGCGCCGCGGCGGCCGCGGGACGCCAGGTCCTCCGAGGCGGCGCAGGGTGCGCGCTGCAGCACCAGTGGTGCACCACACCCCCGAGAGAGACGATAGGAGCCAGGCGGGGCAAGCTTCCGTCCGGACGCGACCACAGCAACCAGGGGCTCAGAACCCGACGGGACGATGGACGTCCCCGCCGAGACGCCCGCAGCCCGCGCCGCGACGCTCGCCGCGACGCTCGCCGCGACGCGCGCCCACTGGCCAGACACGGCGCCACGGTGCCACGGCGGGCCGGCGCGGGCCCACGCGGGGCGCGGACGGCGGGGACGCGTGGGGAGCGGCATGGACCAAGCCAGCAGCGAGCGGACAGGCCGCCGGCGCCTGCCCTCGACATGGGGCTACGAGGCGCGTTGCGGTGCGGTGCACTGGCTCGCTAGCCTCGCCTCGCACTGCAGCGCGTCGCTGTCCGGGTGCAGGCCGGCGGCCACCCTCGTCGCGCGCGGACGCCCGCCACGGCGGCGCGAGCTTGGTCGACGGAACGGCGCTGTGGTCGCGGCCGGCCGGAGCAGCCTCGCCTTCGAAGTAAACCAGGAGAAAGAATTAAATCTTGTTTTAATTAAGAGAGCGCTTCGCAGGTAGTTGGCGACACGATACCTTCCATAATTTTGTTCCCTTATATCCTCTCTCCCCTTACCTCCGTACCTTCATGTACCTTCCTCTACTCGGCTGAGCGGCCGGACGGGCGAGGGCGGAGCACGCCGCGTTTACTTTTCTCACTTGCCTGCCGTACTTGGCGTTGTCGCGGCGTGTCGCGGCGTGCGCCCGTCCGCCCGGTCCTCTCGCTCGGCTGCCTGTTCTCGGACCCTTCCCGGAGCTGGGTCCGAGACGGGGCGGCGCACCCCTCAGCTCCGTTTGGGGCTCAGTCGCCACTGCACCCGCTGTCCGGGGCACCAGGGTCGCGTGGCGAAAAACGGAGCCGACGGGTCGCCCACTAGGTGTGACACTATGTGACAGCTACCCAACGCAATAAGGTCCCTCTATATTGTATTGTACCTAAGTTAGATCTTGTGGATATAGCAAAAAGGATTAAACGGAGATTCTAAACGCAGTCAATACCTTGTCTCGTGTCTTTCTTTGTTTCATTTCCACCCTTTCTCACTTTGTGACTAGCCAACAGTACTCGGAACACTCCATGCGACTGTCAGTGCTGCGTACTGCGACACGATTCAGAACAGCATCTCATCGCTCCATCTTTCTCGCACCGATGCACAAGCGTATGCATCGCATGCGTGCGAGAGAGGACGAAACCGATGTTTGAAAATCGGTATCGCTAAGTTCCTCTGGAGCCCCTGCAATGGAGAGGGTGGGCCAGCCCGCCCGACTTGTCTGTGGACCGGGTTGCCTACCCTACCTTTGCAGGGGTTTCTGGCTGGCTGCGGTCGCTGGCTGCCACGAGAGCTGCGACATGCCGCTGCCGCACCTCGGGCGCGAACGGCCGCTGTACAGAACCGTTCAGGATCACGTGTGGGTCCAAAAGAAAACTACTTTGAAGCTCCTTTCAATAAACTTTATTAATAGCTTTGTTACACCTTACACAAAACACAAACATGATTGACACGACAAATGGTTGAAGAGAACTGACCTCACACTTATTTCTCTGTGAAGTCAATATGTGGCTGAGATGACTAATAGCAATGGAGGAAGACGACAAGTTGTTAAAATACTAAACTTTTGACTGGAACATGCACAAAGTTCTTTTTCTTTTGATATGCTTTGACGGCCTACCTAATACTACATTGAAAAAAGAAACAGAAACTACAAGAGTATGCAAATCGAGCACAATTATCTAATAAGACCAAAAGTAAGTACAAAGATGTAAAAATCAAAACCTACCAAAACCAGAAAACATTCATTTAACAGTGGCTTTGACACAAATAAAATGCAGGGCAAACTCATAATGAACCCCTCATGACATGACAAAGATCGCATATTATAGTAGCTACACACATGAACAGTAGCAAAATGAAGCAGTCCATACTCTTTTCAATCTATGTGTAGGAATACAGAAAATTCTATCACAGCTTTCTGGCAATTGTCAAAGGTTCCACCATACAGAATGGCAAAACATTATCTACTTATTTTTCATGCTGTTTACTGTTCTCAAATCAGTTCAGCACGAAAAATAAACTAAAATGTGTTCCCACAACAAGTGAGAAAAAAATTGCTCATTGAAAACAGTGCATCAATTTGCAACAATCTGGACAAAATAAGTAACCTTGAAAATTAATACAGTACTAAGGATTTTTACAGAACTCAAAACAGTCTTTAGAATCAAGAAACATTGCATTGAACAATTAATGGTGGAAGAAGTCACCTGTAGGAGATTTTCATACTGATTGGCACATTACAATTCATCCTTTAGTTGAAGGTACTTTGCTACAAACAAGTACATATCCTCAAGTTGACGATTTCCTTCATAGCTATTGATTCTTTCACCATCCTTGTATAAATATATTGAAGGGTATCCTCTGACCTGAAAGACAAACACAGTAATTAATTTAAGACTAACACTTGTTCTAATTTTCTTAAACACCATGTGTCTCACCTCCTGCTGCATGCAAAGGTCCTTATTGATATCCAAAGTGCAATCAACTTTTCCAATTGTCACTTCACCAATGCCTAGAAACTTATTGCCAAGTTCATCCCAAGTTGGGGCCATTCGCTTGCAGTGGCCACACCTGCAAGTAAGTTATAATTACCAATACGAAACTAAACTGATCCTTCTAATTTTCTATCAAATAAATCATAATTAGCATGTTACATACCAAGGAGCGAAGAACTTGACAAATGTTAATCCTTTCTCAACAACATGGTCAAAGTTTTCTTTTGAAAGTTGAACAACAGGATTTGAAATGGAAGGAACCTCTTCTGGTGTCTCAACCAAGTCAACTCCCAACTGGTCACTAACATACGCCTTGAGGTCTTCAATAGAGCGATCACCACTGTACTTTTCAATCTAAAGTAAAATTACAAAATCAAAGAATTGGCAAGAAACTTCATATAAATACAAGGAAAACAACAAACGCTGTTTATACTGTACCTTTTGCCCATCAACTATCCAAAGTAATGTAGGGTATCCCTTTACTTCAAATCGCTGGCAAACCTCTTTGTGCTCTGTGCAATCAACTTGTGACACTCTAATGTTGGTAGTGAAATGAAGGGATTCTGCAAGTTTCTCCCAGGTGGGTGCAAGTTTCTAAAGGAAACAAGAAACTTTTATCATATCCTACATTCAGAAAATGCACTGGATTCAGTGAGCATAACCCATATATACCTTGCAATAACCACACCAAGGAGCATAAAACTTTACAAAATGGTTGCCTGTGGCGATATAGTTATCAAATGTTTCTTCAGTGAGTTCTACAAGTCCACTGACTGGAGCAGGAGCTTTAGGCTCTTCTTGAAGTTGCATCTCATCAATCTCTTTCAGAACCTTGCCCACTTGCTCACCGATGTATGACTTTAGAGCCTCATAATCACGTCCACCACGATATTTTGAACCTTCATCGTGACCAGCTTTGAAGAACTTCAGCCTTAAACACAAGGGGGTTTATTAATGTATGATAAATTAAACTCATACACATACGGAAAGTAATTTATCATGTTTGTAGTATGAAGAAATGACTAAGAAATACTTACGTAGGGTAGCCAGTTACATCATGTTCAGAGCATAATGCAGTTTCAACAGTGCAGTCCACCTTCGCAATGATAACATCATTTGAACTCGAACCATCGTTGAATTCTTCAGCTAACTTTTCCCAAGTAGGTGAAAGGCGAGAGCAGTGGCCACACCTGCAAATGAGAAAAAAATAACAACATAGAAACCAAATGCAGTCGAAGTTGTTTTTTTGTTTTTTTTTGTATTCTTTTTAATACAATCAGGTTATAATTTATTCAATAATAACAATTTTATAAACAGTAAAATAGCCGTCGAAAAAAAAGGAATGCTTGTCAAAGTAATTACACTTAATATCTGAGCACGTATAGAAGTGTTTTTTAACGGTAAACTAAATTCATATAATGTAATGCTTACCAGGGAGCATAGAACATCACAAAGTGATTATTCGTGGCAAGACCGAGGTTAAAAGATTCGGCAGAATATTTTACGGACAACGACTCTTCCTCATCGTGCCCGTAAACGTCAACACCCACCAGGAGTAAACATGCTAGAAATGCAAGATTGAATGACATGATGAAGCTCAGTGGGTCTCTCGTGCAGTGGTGGTGAAGTGCTTCTTTTGCATGTTTTTTTTTCGCACCGGCCGGAGCAGAAAACCACCCCCCGAAGACCCGAACCCGAACACCCGAACGCTCTCCAAACTTAAGTATGAGAAATTTATCACGGTGACGTGTCGTCATCAAAGTGAATCTGAATGAGGACAGTAGTTGCACCAACCAAGCACCGCTGACTGCTGACTGCGGTGCCATGAAATTTTTGTAAACTTGTCCAACCGTGTTTCTGTAGGTATTTTTACGTATTGTTTACATACATGGCCCCACTGCAATCAATTCAATATGATCATTTCTGCACTCTCCATACAATTTTTTCAGGGTTCCTTTCATTTTATTGTGGGGCCGGTGACACTAACCTGAACATTGTAACTATCTATAATAATTGGAACTTCCTCAAAACTTCTGTTTTTCTGTTGATTAGGTCATGCGTATTTGGTTAGTTTTGCTGCTAGTCGGCTTGGCCGGAACCCAGATTTGGGCCTCTTCCTTTAGAGAGGAAGCTGAAGACAATGAATTTGCTGAGTTTGAAGACTTTGAAGATGAGGATGCAGCGGGTGCAAGTGCCAGTCATGATCGAGCCCCTGTCCCGTCTCCTTCATCAGAACAGCCAAAGCCTAGTGCCCCTGACGTGAAACCTGTGCATGACGAGGTGGATGATGAAGATGAAGGTGACGCTATAACAGAGGTAATGCACTGTGTCCTTAATCGCTGAATCTGAATGTGCTTTGCGTCGATTGTTTTTTAAAATCTTATGCTTCTCTTATTGCAGGATGAGGAAGACAACGAGTTTGAACATTTTCAGGATGAGGAAGAATTTGAAGGATTTGACAACGAACGAGTTGTCAATAATGATAAAGTAGATGATAAAGAAATGCCAAAGATCACTATTACAAAGGTCAGTTTGTAGTTCACACTTTTTTGTTGATTGCCTCTCTGTAAGATGTTTAAATATTTCATGCAACTATTTTTTCTCTTTTCATTTAGGTCCCCTTGCACTTAAGAACTAATTGGGATAGTTTTTATATGGAAATGCTGATGATTGCTGGTCTCACTGTATATTTTGTAAATTTCTTCACTGGCAGAAGTAAAAACCAACGCATTGCAAATGCCTGGTTTAGCACTCACCGTCAAATTCTTGAGGAAAATTTCACCCTTGTTGGTAAGTTAATAATAACTTACTTATTGCAATGTTGCTTGTCTATATTTCATCTCAATTTTATTATTTTCCTGTCATGTAGTTCTTCAGTTAAAATATATTTTTTCTTCCTCCAAAGGTGATGATGGTAAGATGGAAATTGAAACTCCTGGCCTTATCAAGGATTCAGAGCACATGTACACCTTATGGTGCAGTGGGCGTCTCTGTTGTGAAGGGATGCTTGTGGAACTCAAGCTCTTAAAGGTATGTTTGTATTGTTTTGTCTTACAGAGAGTCTATAGTTTCCAACTTTCTTGGTGAACAAAATTTTAAAATCCTTGGGTTTGACACTTTTGTTAATGTGTACTTTTTCTTTCAGAGGCAAGACTTGGTAGCAGTATTTGCACAGCTTGTTCGTCCTTCTTTAGACCAAGTTCAGATCCGTGTTGATATGACTCGTGAGGATATGGACTCATATGTTTTCTGTGTTGCCACCAAGAAAACTGGGCTACGTCTCTCAAAAGAAATGCAAGATCTGAGTACCTTCTGCCCTGAGAGAAAAACTGGTGATAAATTTGGTGTGCCAAGCAATATGTGTCTTATGAGTGAAATGGGAGAAGCATCTTCTGCTCTTCTCGATAGCAAAGTGATTGCCATGCTGAACAAGTACCAAGATGTGGTGGAATTCATTCACTTCTCTGATCAGTATTCTGGACCAAAGCAAACTGAGGATTCAACTTTAGTCAAGTTACCTGAGGTCAGTGTGTTCATATCTGCATTTAAGGTGTTGAATATTTATGTAAATTCGATTTTACTGATGGCATAACTCTCTTAATACAGGTGAAACGTGTATTGATATTTTGCTTCAATATCCCAATGCTTAAAAACAAAGGTTTGGAGGAGTCTCTTGATCACATGCTTCCGTTGATGCATATGGTCTTCTATCTCATTGATAAAGTTAAGCGATTCCGACTGGGAAAAGAAGGCAAACAGAAAGCCGACAAAAATCGTGCCCGTGTGGAAGAAGCCTTCCTGAAAACCACCCATGCTGCACGTGCCGAGGCTGCTGCTGCACGAAGGGAGGAGAAACGTCGTCAAGAAAAGGAACGCATCATGCAAGAAGAAGACCCTGAAAAGCAACGCAGATGGGAGGAAAAGGACATGAAGCGACAAATGAAAAAGAAAGCTCCGAAAATGAAGCAGTTGAAGGTCAAGGCCTTGTAAGTGTGTGGTCTTTGTACAAGGAAGTATTCTGCTAGTCATTATGCTCTTGGCATTTACATCTTAATTACATGAGGTTAGAATGTTGACTGCTGCAATTTTTAAGCATCGAAGTGGCTACTATATATATTTGTGTTTGTTAGTGCCCTTCGTAATTTAGGCTACATATCTGAAATAATTTATTATTCTTCTACAACTGTGTTTTAAACGGTTTTACATCTTTTTTATCAAATGGCAACTTTTTATGTATGTAGCAAGACACAGCGGCTGTCGTCCTGTGTAAAGGGTCTATACTTATAAAATAAATGTTCAATTAGTACATTGGTATAACAGTTCTATGTATACTCTAGAAACTGAAGAGAGTGCATGGCATGCTCCTCCTAGGAGTCAACCACAAAGCACACTCTTACCAAGAGCATGCTTGCAAGCACACTCTTCCCAGGAGCATGCTTGGCAAGCACGCTCTTCCTGGGAGCATGCTTGCAAGCAAGGACAGTGCTTGAAAGCATGCTCCTGGGAAGAGTGTGCTCGCAAGCATGCTCTTGGGAAGAGTGTGCTTGCAAGCATGCTCTTGGGAAGAGTGTGCTTGCCAAGCATGCTCCTGGGAAGAGTGTGCTTGCAAGCATGCTCTTGGGAAGAGTGTGCTTGCAAGCATGCTCTTGGGAAGAGTGTGCTTGCAAGCATGCTCTTGGGAAGAGTGTGCTTTGTGGTTGACTCCTAGGAGGAGCATGCCATGCACTCTCTTCAGTTTCTAGAGTAGTTGTTTCAGGAGAAATTATTGCATAATTTTAAAAAGCCTACAAATTTAAATGCATTTACCTATTGCGTAGGGAGTTCTGTTATTGAACAATGCATTATTTTCTGTGTGTTTGTGTGTGTGTCTGTTTTCATATTGTCATGTCATTACTCATTTGTTTGTAGGCCAATGGTAGGATGGGTGGAAGGGTACTGAAAACTATGAGCTGTGAATGTTCCCTTAAGCTTTTCTAAGTTAAAGCTGTTTTGTATTTATTTTAGTTTTTCTGTCCTTTTTTCCTATCCTGTGGTGGTCTTTCATTGTTTATGATTTTGTGTTCTTGTGTTACTTAGATTACATGTGTTTTAGCATGATTACTTCAAAGGCTATAATTTTCTAATATTGCTGAGGATTATCCAGCAGTTTTTGAACCCTTTCTGCTGCCATTTTCTATCTGATACGTATGTTGCCTTGTGTGTCTATTGACAGATGATTATTTTTTCAGACACACACTGCCTTTGTTTCCTTTCTGAAATTTTAATCTATTCTTATCACGACTGATGAGTTTAGAACTATGTTGTGGAAGATTGTATAACAGTATGTAGCGTTAAAAAAATATATATATCTCCTCGTACAGATGTGCTTAGGTAAATTGATCTATTTCTTAAGTAAGATAAAAATTTTACTTCTCCTCATGACTGAAATGAAGTTTTTGCTGACAATGACAGCTTATTGCTGACATTTTTCTGTAGTCCCAAAAAGAGCACTAGACATGTTGCTTTTGTACAGCCATATTTGTTTTCTGTTTCCAATGTGAGCAATATATGGAATATTATTTGTTACCTTGAGCTTTTATTTGACCTGAGGACCCACCCATGAAAGTCTTTGAACGCCATTTCCGCTTCCATTCCAAAATTCCCATGGTGGCAAATGCACGACAGGCGAACCAATGTCCTCCCGAAGTCCTCGGGCCGCGGCGCGGCAGGCGGTCCCATTCACGGCTTCGTTAGAAAGTATGATGACCGGCCTGCGCCTGCGCCCCGGCAGCCGGCAGCCCGCTCCCGCTCGGCCCGTCCCGGCCTCGCCGGGGAAAGTATTGTTACTGTTTTGACATTATGCCGCCACATTCAAATCCAAGCGCGAAGCCAAGCCGACTCGAGCGTGACACGTTCGATCAGAAAGCTCTCGCAGACCAAAAGGTCTGACGCGGACGGGACGCGTCGCCGTGGCCAAGCCTTCCCTTCGCTGTGCGCTGCGCGGCGCTGCGTGTCTGCCGTCCGTTTCCTGGTGCAAACCATTGTGGGATGACGAACGGGGAACTCCTCCCTAGCGCCTGCGGACCAGCGGGTAGGCCAGCCCGCACGACACGCCCGTCTTGCAGGACGGCCCACCGTCACGGCGCTTGCCCGCTTCCAGCTTCCCGAGCGTTTCCGAAGTCTCGTTTCACCGCTCTGTCTCTGTCGCACTCGTTGGGTGGCGCGTGGCGGAGGGGGGCGGAAGAGAGAGGAGGTGCTGCGTCCGGCGGCGCGTGCGTCTCGACTTGCCGAATGTTGCCGGCCGCCGCTGAAAACCGGCGAGCGTGTCAACAACAAGCACGCCACTCCGCGTCCCGCTCCGCACCGCGCCCCGCGCCAATTAGAAATTCAAATTGTATTTTGAAAGGGAATTGCGCTCGCGGGCCGGGGCGAGTCGGCGTTGTTGTGTGGCTGCCGGCCGGCCGCCGGCATGCCGGCACCGGCGCCGTGTCCTTGGGGCCCTGCTGGCCCTGCCGGCCCTACTGGCCCTACTAGTCCTCGGCGACGCCCCAGGGCCGGGCCCCAGCCCAGGCCCCACGGCGGATCGGCGCCAAGCGCAGCGACAGCGGAGCCAGCCGTCTTCCCTCCAGGTTGCCGTCGAAACGGAGTGGCCGCTGGCCGAGCGCGTCGCTGGCCAGGCAAGGCAAACGAGTCGGGCCGCGTTGTCACCGGCCGCGCTGGCACGGCACGCCACTGTGATTGCGAGCGTCTCTCCGCGCCTCTCGCACTCACAGGGCGTACCGCGTCGGTGCGAGAGAGACGACGCGACGAAGCGCCGGGTGGAATCGGCCCGCAAGGATGAGGCCTCCCGGACCGTCCCGTCGAGTCGGACGAGCGGGAAGCAGACTTGGCGGCGATAAGCAGGACTCGCTCGGGACGCGGGCGCCCATGTCGCAGAGCCTTCTGCCTCCTGTTAAAGGGCACGGGGGAGTTGTGGAGTCCCACGATGCGCCGGCCGGTCGGCTCGTCTAGGCTAGGCAAGCCAGCCATCCGACAGACGGACTAGCGAACAGACGGACGTACGGACAACGCGAATTCCGCGCGGCAGACCGGCGTGCCCCCTCCCACTGGAGGTGCTTCCCCCTGTTGCCGGCTCGGTCCTCATGGCCTTCATGAGGAGGATGCCCCCGCCGATCCTAGCCCCTGGCCGCGGACGGGCAGGCCGGACGGGCAGGCCGGCAGCCCGGGCCGTTCGTTCTGTTTACAGCCCGCAGTGCGCGACGCGGCGGGCCTGGCGGGCCGCGCGGCGCGGCGAGGGGAGTGGCGAGGAGGAGGGCGCACCGTGGGCGCGGCGTGGCGCGGCGCGGCGGCGGATTCGCAGCCGGCAAAATACTCTCCACGTGGAGGGGCGCCGCCACCGCCTCGCCTCGGGACGCGCCGCTACCGCCGCCTCGGCCACTACGCCGCCTCTACGCCGCGCCACTACGCCGCTTCTTTTATTTTCGCGGATGGGAACCAGCCGGCTAGTTGTGCTGGGCGGCGCCCGGCTCGGCTGCCGCGGCTAGACGCGGCTAGGCGCGGCGCGCCGCGTTATTTTGTTCTGAGGAAGCGAGCCTGGCCGCGCTGCGCGGCTTGGCGGCGGCACACTGGCTCCGAGAGTCGTCCTCGTCGCTCTGTCTCTCTCGCACCCACAAGGCGAGTGAGTGCGAGAGAGCACAGCGACGAGTCAGTCTGCAGTCCGCGGCCGCAGCGCGTAATCGTAATCGGTCGCTGCACATGCGGAGCGCGCGGAGCGGCGCGGGCACGCGTATCTGCAGCACTCTCGATTACTTTCGACGAAAACAATGTTGCTGTGTGGCCGCAACGGTGCCAGCCGTGGATGCGCCCACGCACAGCAGAGTGTACGCGGTGCTATCAGGGGCACCAAACGAACATTTTAAAAATAAAATAACGGCCCTTTTGTCACGCGCGGAGCGGCGCTGAGTCTGTCGCGGTGGTTCGAGCTAGAGACCCTCCCGGGAGGGTCTCTAGTTCGAGCCCCACGACTTGCCTCTCTCCCTCCCCGACTTGCTCGCATGTCGTTCTCCCACCAGCTTCGCCGGCTTCGCTGACTTCGCCGCCCCCTCCCTGTTGAATCTTCAACCAGAGGTTTCAGCAGCATGTAAAGCCTTCTCAAACCGAGGTACGCCGAGCGCGGCCAGCCAGCAGACTCATTCCGAGAGTCGTTCTCGTCGCTCTGTCTCTCTCGCACTCATGGGACGTCCCGTATAGGTGCGAGAGAGACAGAGTGACGAAAACGACTCTCGGAATCCGTGTGCTGGCCCACGTGACACACGTGCTCTTGTCACGGGTTCAAGCCCTCGTCCCCCTCTCTGCCGCGTGCCGCGCCCAGCAAGCCGTGTGCGCCGAGCGCCAAGTGTGTCAAGTGCCGCGCGTACTGCTTGGCCGCCGAGTCGCCGTGTCGCCACTCTCGCTCGGTTTTGGCAGGGCGGTGATGGGCGGTGATGCGAGTGCACGGGATAGATAAGCCCTCCGGCCTCCGGGCGCCAATCTAGCCAACGCGATACGGCCGCGGCGGACTGGCGGGGAGGACTGCAGACTCATTCCGAGAGTCGTTTTCGTCGCTCTGTCTCTCTCGCACCTAGACGGGACGCCCCATGAGTGCGAGAGAGACAGAGCGACAAGAACGACTCTGGGGAATCGGTCTGCTGGCGGGGAGCTCGGGGAGCTGCCCGCCTTGACGGTCTTGACCCCCGCCGACGCGACTCCGCCGTGTTCTGCAGTCTGATTCCGCACAGCAGTACATCGTCGCTCTGTCTCTCTCGCACCTTTACGGAACGGCCCATGAGTGCGAGAGAGATAGAGCGACCAAAGCGTACTGATTACACTGCAAGAAAAAGTGTGGATAGTACAACAAAAGTACAACAAAAACTGTACAATAAAAGTACAACAGGGATTGTAGAATGTACAGAGAGAATTGTACAAACCACAACCAGCCCTGGACTGCACAGCACTCGTCATGTCGGTACCGTTGTACTTTGTACAACAATTGTTGTACTTGAAAAGTACACTAAATTCCTGATAAAAAATTTGCCAGAAATTTGTGTACTTTTGTTGTGGTTATTTTCTGCAGTGTAGCCCGCGCGGTTTACATCAGCCAGCATAATACCTAACCGACAGCAAGCCAAGTGTCGTGGGCGATTAGCTGGAGGCCATTAGGCAGTCCGTCGCGGCCTTTCCGCGCCGGAATCGAATGGAAAGAGTGGACACCGAGTGGAACCCTGCCAACAGTGTCGTCTCGATCGGTTCACGACGATGACGGAGTGCCGTTGAAGTCAGATGCGATGCGAAAGGCTGTCCGCCGCTTGCCGCCCCTGGAGGAGGTCGACGTCCACGTCAACGACGCCGTTCGGCTCCATTTTCAAACGACCAAGTCTTTCGGCCTCCTCCGCCTCGTCGCCCCGCCCGCCCTCCGTCTGGCTATCCTTTGCTCATTCCGCTATTTTTCAATGACAAAGTGGAGTGGCGAGGTCGTCGACCCGCGACGTGGCGGGGCGGGGTGGGGCCGGGTGGGGCCGGGCCGCGCGTTGCAGTGCCTTGGCGACAAACTCTGTCTGTTCACTCTGCACACTCCGACAGCCAGCCAGCCAGCCAGCCAGCCAGCCAGACGGCCTGCGAGTCCTACACTAGAGCAGACTGTTGTTGTGGCCGCGGCGGCGTCGCGACGACTCAGCCCGTCCGCGGTGTGGCGTGGCGTGGGGGGGCGGGGGGGGCGGGGCGTGGGGGGGGCGGGGCGGGGGGGGGGCGGGGCGCGGCGGGGCGGAGCGGGACGCGGCGGGGCGGGGGGGGGGGGCGCGGCGCAAGTCGGGCGTGCGCGGCGTGTCGCTGCGGCGCCGCGGGACGTTCACAGCCGCCCTACCCGAATATCGGGCCTGAGTTGTACGACCGGGATGACTTTGAGAGGGAGCATGTGTCCTCCCGGCGCCTCGCTGCTGTGAACGCGCTGCCACCCGAGCACGGCGTCGTCGCCCCTTCGGCCGCATCTTCCCCGCGGCGGCCGCTACTGTCAAGCCTGCCGAAACTGCCCTCCAAGGTTCTTCCCGGTTACCCCGTTACTGTCCCAACGCGGAGTTCCAACGGTGTGGCACCCGAGAGGGGGGCGTTGGGCGTCGCTGCCGGCCGGCCGGCCACCGCGTCGACGGGCAGACGACGGCGTGCCGTGTTGCTTCCGGCCGGCCGGCGCGTGTCCCGTGCGTCCACCACGTCCACCTCAAGGCTAAACTTAGCGGCCGTTAGCCCTCGTCAGCCCTCGGCCGGCCGACGCACGGGCCAGGGGCCCGGGGGCCGAGTGGGCCTACACCCCCCCCCCTCCCCCGCGACACGGAAGCCCTTGCCGCCGATGAAAAGTGGCGTGTTTGTGGCGCGCTGGGCGCGAGCTGGCGCGTGCCACTGCGTCGAGGCGCTTAGCGGGCGGGGCGCCCATCCGCGACGTCCGTCCGCGACTCCGCGGCGCGCGCCCTCGCCACCCCCGCGCGCTGGGCGCGAGCTGGCGCGTGCCACTGCGTCGGGCGCTGTCCGTCCGCGACTCCGCGGCGCGCCCCTCGCCA